TGGGCGTTCAAGGTCAAACGCCGCCAGTGGCCAAGTCGACCGGTGTCGAGCGATCAACTCCATCGGAGGGCCGCGATCGTTCAAGGTTGACCGATCCACGCGGCGTCAGAGACCGACGCCCGCGACATCGCGACGTGGACCAGCCGTCCAGTCTCCCCCTCTCCCATCCTGCCGCTCCTCCCCGCCCTCGGCACGTCCCCCTTCCTTTCCTCCCACCTCCTCCTCCTCCTCCTCCTCCTCCTCGTCCTCCTCCACCACCTCCTCCTCCAACTCCTCCCACCTCCTCCTCCTCCTCCTCCTCCTCGTCCCCTCCTCCTCCTCCTCATCCACCTCCACCTCCTCCTCCTCGTCCTCCTCCTCGTCCTCCTCATCCTCCTCCTCCTCCTCCTCCTCCTCCTCCTCCTCCTCCTCCTCCCCCCCCGCGCGGCCCCCACAGCTTTCCCCTTTCCAGTGCCTTCATGATATCCATCTCCGTCTCCCTGGATGTATTTGGTCGAGCCTGCCAGCTAGACAGCGCCAGCAATGACCCATGGGCGGCCTGGCACGAGAGGAGTCGGAGGATGAGAGGAACGGGCGGAGGGGAGATGCCGAGTTCGTGGCGCGGAGGAGGCGCTCAGCACAGCACAGCACCGCGATGATGCGCAGAGTTGGAGTTGCTGTCAGACTCTTCCCCTGATGGCATCGGAGACCCGCAGAAGCATTGGGTCACCTTAGGCGGCTCAGAGATCGTCGGCAAACGCCGCACGCGTCTGTGGAGTTGGGCTCCGCGGTATGAAGATGCAAGGGCTCCCTCGAGGGCGCGAAGTTATTCGCGCTTCGCGCTTCGCGGTCCTCGTTCCTTCTCCCCCTCCTCCTCGTCCTCCTATTCTCCCTTTGGGAGGGCGGCGCGAGAGCGCGAAGTTATTCGCGCTTCGCGGAGCGCGAAGCGCGAAGCTGGGAGCCCTTGAAGATGCACCGCATGGAGACTGGCCGAGAGTTTTGCCGAGCTTCATTACGGTGGGGGATTCCTGGTCAGGGTGTCGCTCTGCCAGTTCTGGCCCCCCGCGCTTCGGCGCGACACGCTGTTCACGTCCCGGTCCCCGAACGTCAACGTCCCGAGCTTTGCCCAGCCTCTTGTCCCTCACTACTTTCAGGAGGGAAAAAAACACACAGACACAATTAATCCTCGATTTCCCAGAAAATATGGGAAAATATGGGAAGTGGGGGGGAAGACAAAAACCCAGAAAATATAGGAAAATATGGTGAATATTTTTATTTGTGTGTATTTATTTGTGTGTCCTGGGGCCCCTTCATACTTACCAATCAACCCCAACCCAACCCGAAGGTCCCAGAACCACCCAAGTTTTGGACGCTTCGCGTAGCCCCACCAGCCCATCCAGAAACTGTGCCCAGGCGAGTTGCCCTGATCAGGCATGTGGGGGAGCAAGCAGTGGAGTCGAGGCTGGGAAGCCGTCGTATCCCAAGGGGGGGCGGATGGAGGTGGAACCAGAGGAGAAGGATGAGGAGGGGGACGGGGAGGAGGGAGGAGGGAGGAGGGGGGATGGAGGAGGAAGAGGAGGAAGAGGAAGAGGAGGAGGAGGAGGAGGAGGAGGAGGAGGAGGAGGAGGAGGAGGAGGGCGAGAAGAAAGACCGGAGGCCCCTTAGATTTGAAGCGTCGTGGGTACCTCGGAGAGCCTCTTTTACATTCCAAAACCTAATACGGACGCGCGACTTTGCTCAGGGTACCCTTGCGTCCTTGCTCTTCCTTGCTCTTGCGTCCTTGGGGTTTACGTCGTCCGCCGCCCCAAAAATCCCAACTTCGGCTTCCAACGGTCTTGCGTCCTTACCGCGCGTCCTTATTTGGGTTTTTGACTGTAGGCTCTTTGGGGTCGCTTGGGAGCACCCTATGGGGAAGCGCTGCATTCGGTGGGAGAGACGCATGCGAACACCGCCGCTGGGGCCTTCGGAGGAGCTCCATATGAGGCCACGAAGCGTTGGGCTTCTTGGAGGCATCTGGGGGGCATCTTGGGGGCCTCTTGGGGCCTCCTGGGCTCCTCTTGGGGCACTTCTGGGAGAGCCTCGGGGTCCATCTTGGGGCGTTCTAGGAGGAGATCGATCATAGGAGGGGCCGTTGCAAATTAGGGACGCCCCCGCCAGGAGGCCAACATGTGGCCAAAGCCTTGGTAAGACCAGTGCTTGCTGCCTTCTCGCCGAGGCCGCTTTGGATGGAAGAGGAACCGCTCCGAACCGCTCACGCCAGTGGCCGCCGCGGCGACACGCTGATCAGGAGTTCCCGACCGTACACGCCGGTCGTTCAAAGTAGGTATTTCTGGAGTCCCGCATCCCAATCCACTTCAAGCGCCTTCCTACTTCAAGAACCGGCGTGCTGTCGCTGTGTCTTGTTGTTCTTTGCGAAGGCCTGCACCCAGTCCACGTTCTCCGCCTCCCTACTTCATGTCTTGACCTGCTTCTTCCGACCGACGTGCAATCACGCCCCGCGGAGCGAGGCGACCCGCTGCCACAGCCTCGCCGGGGCCGCCGCGGCGACCGTGCCGGGCAGCCCTTGCCAACCGTGGCCGCGCCCCGCGGAGCGGAGCGGGCCGCTGCCCGCCTGCAGGGCGCGGCGGTGTCGCTGGGCCGCCGCCGCGGCGGCCACGCTGGGCTGAAGTCGGGCCTGCCCACTCCCCCCCTTCGCTCGCGCTGCCGAAGCCGTGCGATGACCAGGGACCCCGCCCCTGACTCGCCACGCGGCGTGGTCGCCCCAGCGATTGGGGGCCGCGGAGCCTTGCTGCTCAGGGGGCAGTCCCGCCCGCTGGCTGGCCGCAGGAACAGGGAGCACGTGCCGATTTACCACGAGTTGTGCTCCGCCACCTGGCAGCGCGGCCACTCCTCGCGTTAAGTCGGGCCTGCCCCTGTACAGGGGGAATATTCAACAATAGCCGAAAAATAGTCTGGGGACTATGTTTTGAGCATTTTGTGGCCATTTCGGAGCAGTTGTGGGGTGTATGTTTTATTCTTCGTCGAAGATCCCCCTGTTGTAGGGGGACACGCCCGACTTAACGTTGGGCAGAGGCTCCCGACCGTGGCTTCGAGGCGCTGCGCAGGGTCGGCCTCGAGCGTGGAGCGCGCCGGCCCTTGGCAGAAGCCCGCGCGCTGGCCACCCCAGGGCCACCGCCTGCGTCCGAATGAGTGCGCCCAGATGGTGGCGAGAGTGTCCCAAATGGCCCAAGCAAGTGCTCGCCGATTGCTGCGATAGTTTCCGAAACGCAGTGTGTCGTCTGACCTATCGCCAGCCCCACTGGGCCCATCAGCTCCACTACGTCCGGGAACTCTCAGTTAGCGTGGCGCGCAGACCTTTCTGGCTTACCACGCCTTGGATGGACACGCTATCAACTTCGCGGTCCTCAGGCGTCCACTTCCTGAGTTGTTCCCAGCCTCCCACCCCGCGGAGTGGAGCGACACGCTATCCGATCTGCAGGACACAGCGTGTCGTTGGGGCCGCCGCCGCGACACGCTGAGCCAGAGCTCCTGACCCTAACCCCGTGTGCACGTCCTGAAAGGGGCCTGCGTGCCCAGGGGGGGAGGCAGAGACGGACGGCCATCTCTAGTCAGGGGCAACGATAGGGGGGCATAGGCATTGGGGGGGATGCATCGACCCCCAATGGCCCATTGATCGCCGATAAGGGCCCGATAGCCCCAACCTGCCCAGGAAAGTGCGGACTCACCATCGGGGGCCTATCGCCGATCTATCGGCGATTTATCGCCGATTCCAGGTCGATGCATCCCCCCCTATGCCTATTCCCCTTATCGTTGCTCCTCATCTAGAAGCAGGAACAAACTGCTTCATCAGAAGCTTTCGAGGGTTCACGCGGACTTTTTGGATCCGCCCTGAGACCCCCTGGCCTTTCGGCGCCTCCACTGCGCCCAGGAGGGGGGGGGCTCTAGCGCCCCTCTAGGCGATCTCCGTGGGCCTCCGAGAGTTCCTGGTCATGCAGTTGGCTCGTTTTCCGCTCCGAGGGCTCGTGGAGGCCTCTGGGCTCCCGCGAAGCCCCCGAAGCCTTCCCCGAAGGCCCGGCGCCTCTTGAGCAGGCCTGCCGCCCCTCGCCCCCCCCCTCGGGGCCGCCGCCGAAGGGGCCCTGGGGCACGGGCGCTGTGGACCCGCGGGGCCTCCCGCCCAGGACCGGGCTTTCGTCTGGAGTGCCCTCCGGTAGCCCCAGCGGCACGCTCCCCACGGGGGCCAGGCGGAGGGGGAGGAGGAGGGGGGAGGCAGGGGGGAAGGAGGGAGGAGAAGGAGGAGGGGGAGGAGGGGGAGGGGGAGGAGGAGGAGGAGGAGGGGGAGGAGGAGGGGGAGGAGGGGGAGGAAGAGGGAGCAGGAGAGGAGGAGGAGGGGGAGGAAGGGGAGGAGGAGGAGCAGGAGGAGGAGGAGGAGGAGGAGGAGGAGGAGGAGCAAGAGGAGGAGGACCCCCTCCCCCTCCAACTTATGGGTGGTGGTAGTGGAAACCAAGCCCGCCATCCCACGGGGGCCAGCTTCCCAAGCGGCTCTTCCAGTTGCCCCAGGCGGCGCGACGCTTCCGGGGGCCAGTCTCCCACGGGCCCGCTTCCCTGGGCCATCCCCCCGGGGAGCGAACCTGCTCCCGCCCGGCGTATCGCGGCCTGGGCCGCTGAGGCGTCCGTTCTCCAGGGCGCGAGGCGCGAGGCGCGAAGCGCATGCAGCTCGAGCCGTGCATCGCGGGGCGCGCTGCGCGCAGCTTGGCGGGCCGTTGCCCCGGTGCTGAGCACGGGTGTGCGAGCGCAGTCGGGGGTCCCTAAACGGGGTGGTGACCACACCGTGCGGTGAGTCGGTGGGGATTCGGGGTCACCGCACGGTTTTGGGACGCGGGTCGTTCTCCGAGGATGTCTCGGGCGACTGGGGCATCCGGGGTCCCAAAACCGTGCGTTGACGGACCGTGCGGTGAGGTTTTGGGGGATTTCGAGGTCACCGCGCGGTCTGTCACCGCACCGTTTCGGGACTCCAAACGCAG